TATAGTACGTAAATATTATGTCCGAATATGTGAAATCATAAATGACCATTTATTCGTAAATTTTACGTTAATAGATAAAAGTACAAAAGTACCTGTATCTAGATACTTTTGAGGTATCTGTACCTGGGTATTTTGTTTTCCTAGTACCTGTACCTGTACTTCGGTACTTTTTTCCAAAATACCTGTGTACCTAAGTACAGTTGAAAATAAAGTACCTTACACAACACTGCTCCTGACTGTATCCCCTTAAGGCTTAATCTACAACAGATGATTTAAGCTTTAAGACATGGACCAATTACAGTCGAATATTCTCCTTAACTTCGATTGTGAATGGTCAATTTCTTAATGTTTAAGGTTCAAAGTGTTTATTTAACGTATTAAGAATTGCCCAATTTACTTAAGACTAGAAATTACAACTTAAATTGGCACTTTAAACCTTAAATCTTAAGAAATTGATCAATCATAAACAATGTTAAGAAGAATATTTGACTACAATTGGTCAGTTTCTTAAAACTTAAATCATCTATTATCTATTATAGGCAAGACCTGAAAGCTGCGGGTTACGCAACGGTGTCGCCTTGCGGGCTGATATTGCTAAGTAATTCAGGGTCGAACGAATTAATGCCGGTATCAGCTCCTAAGACGGCTTTTACGGTCTAAGTACGACCTATACAGGGTATTTAAGAAAGAAGGTTCAGAATTTTAAAGGCAAATACTGGCCCACAAGATGGGAGAGAAATTCCTGGTAAATATGGGTCGAAAGATAAATATCGTCGCAGTTATGAACAATTACATTTACTTTAATCGAAGCAAGTGACCTACTCATTTCTGATGCTAATGAAATTTACAGATCTTCTACATATACTCCTCCTTCTGTTTCTACGTCTCTCGCACCTTCGTACCATAAAATTGAGAACTCTTTCAAAAATTCTCGGCGTTGTTCTAACTACTTGACAGGCATTTTGTATTCTTCGATGTAATTCATCTAACATTTAAATAACAGATCTAGTAGTTAATTCTTTCCAATGAAATTTACATAGCTCAGAGCAAAATTTGAAATTGAAATATTCCCGCTTTTTTGCGGGTTTTAAAGTGTTAACATTTAAATTTTCAACATGACATGTGGTTTGGCGTTTGATACACATAACCTCAAATAATCAGTAGTGTCCATGATGGCTATCAACAAAGAGCATATTCAACACGCGATGCATTTCGCATTTCATTTAAACAAAACGCTTCTAAAGTAGCCAAATAATTTGTGCTGCTTATAGTGAAAATGTTGTGACCGATCGCACGTGCCGAAACTGATTTGGACATGTTCAAAGTGATGATTTTAATCTTCACGACCAACGACGCCCCAGTCAGCCAAAAATATTTGAAGACGAAGAGTTGCAAAATCTACTGAATAAAAATACGGCACAAACACAACAAGAACTTGCGGAAAAGTTGGGAGTAAGCCAGAAAGTTATTTGCGATCGTTTACATCGTATGGAAAAGATACAGAAAGAAGGGAAGCGGGTTCCACGCGAGCTAACCATTGACAACAAAAATCGCCGACCGGCCATATGCGTTATCTTACTCGCCAGATAACAAAAAGGAGACTTTTTGCACAAAATCGTAACTGGTGACGAAAAATGGATTATGTATATGAAAGTCCTAAACGCAAAATTCATAGGTAGACCCTGGTAAACCGATAACGTCGACGGCAAAACCCAAACGTTTTAAAAAAAAATTCCTCTCTGTACATGATGGGACCAGAAGGGTGTGCTGTATTATGGGCTCTTGGAATCGGGCAAAATTATTGAAGCAGAGATTTACCAAGAGCAATGGCTACGTTTGAGCGATGCAATTGACAGAAAAAGGCCTGGACGAAGCAGCCGTAAAGTCATCCTGCTGCACGACAATGCTAAACCGTATACAGCAGAAGCCACAAAGGAAACCATCTTACACTTGGGCTGGGAAATTCTCCCACAATCGGCGTATTCTTCAGACTTGGCTTCATCAGATTTTCACTTGTTTCGGTCGATGCAACACGCACAGTCTAATACACATTTTTCGATAGCTGACGACGTAAGAAATGTCATCAATGACTTTACAGCCTCGAAGCCACCAAGTTTCTATCGTGATGGGATTCAACAACTGCCCTATAAATGGCATAAGATCATCGATAACAACGGAGAAAATTTCATTGATTCTTCTTCTATCGATTTTTAAATAAAGATTGGAAATTGTCGAAAATCGGAAAGAATTAATTAGATCTTATCAGTCCTTCGGTAATGAAAGATGGATTGGATGAGGTGGACTAGTTCCCATGGCCTTCTCGCTCTCCTGATTCAAATCCTCTGGATTTTCCTCCTTTATGGGGATTTTTTAAAAGTATATACTCTCCGTTGATAAATGGCATGGACAAATTACATCAGAGAATACAAAATGCCTGTCAACCAGTTAAAACAAAGCCGGGATTTGTAAAAGAGTTCGCAATTCTACGGTACGAAGACTTTGTAAGCATCAGAAACGAGTAGGTACTTGCTTTAATTACAACAAATAACTCCGACAATATTAATTTTCCAACCCATGTTTATTAAAGCTTCTTTCCTCCATTTTGTGGGTACCATCTTAAGGTCCCTTAAAGTCCTAGACTATTTTTTTTTAACACCCTGTATACAACGCGACGATACGACGCGCTAATCGACTGCGAGTATCACCGCGGGTATAATCAATTTTTCGTTCGCATACGAAGACACCGGCTGGCAGGGAGTGAAGAGGGGGGGGTAAAGGGGGGAGAGAATTGGATCGAAGCCGAAATCGATGGTGTGCAATATTCGGCCCCCCGGCGTCGCGAATAATATAAATATTTGCGAGGACACACGAGCGTGCGCGCTGCGCGCGTAATTCGGAAATATTGGGCCGGCTAGTCTCTCGCGTGTATATAAATATAATATAGCGAATTTGCCGCGCTTAGTCCACGAGCGGCCCGGGATGTTATTATCTTCATACACGCGATCCGTGCATCCGCGATTCTCACACTTGAATGGCCACGCGAAATAATATCGCGTTCTTCCGCGGCGGATAGCCGGCGGTATCAATAACGAAATTTCAGCCGGCTTCAGCGGCGACGACGACGCACGCCGTCGAGGCGCGAGAATTTCCTTCGGTCTTGCGAATTACGGAACTGAAGCCTTCTCGATTTAATCGGGAATTACCGGGACCGCGCGCGCGCGACGACGACGACGACGACGACGACGACGACGGCGCCGTAAAAGCCGAGTCCTCGAGACGTGCGCGCGAAAGACTTCTTTAGACGCCGCCGTCGTCGTCTTCATAAAAGACTAATAAAACCTCGTAAAAAAGATATCGATTTTTTTGCGAGTATTTTTACGTAAGCACTCCTTCAAAGAGACGAGGGTGTTCCACTTCACGCGAACGATCTACCGAGCGCTCCAGAGCGAGCATGCGAGCGAGAGAGAAAAAGAGAGTGTGTGTATATGGGGAAGAGAGAGAGAGAGAGAGAGAGAGAGAGAGAGAGGAGGGGAGCTATATCGAACCGGGTTAAATATAAGTATTAAAGTTACGAAAGTCTATAGCTTCGGAGAAACACGCGTGCGAACGACGGCAGGCAGACAGCGACGATAGCTTCGTCGGCGGCTTCGAGAGGCCGCATCGACGAAGGCGATGATCGCTAATCGGCCCCACGTGCGAGATATTTGCGGACGAGCGCGCGCTCCGATGTTTCCAAGCCGGAGGCCCGTCGCCGACGAGTGCCTCGCGATAAGCCCTGCCGGCGCGCGCGCGGTCCTCCAAGGAGGAAACTTTCAATGTCATCGCCGTGAATCCGTCGATCGCCGTCGTCGTCGCCGCGCTGATAAGCGCGCTCCGTTCGACGTGGCAGCCGTGGCAGGTGAGGTCCACGAGGTTGAGCGCAACGAGAGGCGCGATTACGCGGTCGTCCTCGACGGCTCCTTCGATGACGGAATTATCGCGGGGAGAGGGCAGGAGAGGAGAGGAGGAAGGAAAAGAAGGAACGGAGGCGGCGTGGGCAGCGTGATCTCGGATCTCAGCGCTACTGCTGACGACGATGAGGACGAGGACGACGAGAGACTGGTGTATGCGTGTGTGTTCCCGCAATTTCCACGAATAACACGCTTCGCCTGTCTATTTACAAAAACAACAATTACTCTTGCGTAACAACGACGACGACGACGACGACACCGGGGACCGCCGCGCGACGAGTCGAGCGCGCTCGGCCGATTCCGGCCTCTCTGTTTGTCCATTATGACGATCGATGTTATCGTGTAATAATACAGAGAATCATAAACGAGGCGCGAGGTGTGTAACGTCTTTCCGCCTCAGCGGAATAACACGGCGACCTGCTCGACGGAGAGAGAGAGAGAGAGAGAGAGAGACTGCGAGTTCGCCGCGTGTTATCTCGTTCCGCATGCAAATGTATTCCCCGCTCCACACCACTTTGGCGACGAATGCAAATTATTATTACGCAAGTCCCAAGCACCAAGGACCGTCGCGCGTCGCCGACGCGTGCGTATCCTGGCGCGGAGACGATGACAATTCGGGAGAAGGTGAGAAAGGGAGAGGGCGAGAGGACGCGCCGACGGGGTGCCGTAAACGGTGGATTCACTAGCTAGCTGTTGACGTGTCGCGCGTTGAAGGGAGCGAGAGGAACAGCGGGGCGGGGGGGGGCAAGAAAAGCGGAGGAAAAACACGTCGGGGGCTCGCGAGCGAGGATCCAGCCTTGACTTCGCCTCGGGGAAGAGAGAGCCGTCGAGCGCACGACGTCCTCCGTCATCGTCGGCTCGATTCTCGCGCGCCCGGTCAGCCGCGAGTTTGACAGGTCGCGGGCGACGGGGCGGGGGTGGGGGCGGCGAAACCGCGTCTCGCCGAGGTCCTCGGCGACGCCGGGCGCGCTCCGACGACGCTCCGCTGCGCTCTCGCGCCGAGAGCGCGGTATCGACGTGCGCGGCGCGCTGCTCCTGCATGCTACTCACCAGGTGCAGCACGGTGTTGACGACCTCCCGATTGGACACCTGTCCCACCTCGATCAGGCCGATCAGCACGGCGAACTTGAGGCTGTCGTTCATCGCCATCGCCACCACCTCCTCGGGCCGCTTGATGTCACTGAACGGCGGACTCTTGAGGTCCGCCATCGCGACGGCCTTTCACGCGATCCGCGCCGCGCGCGTCCACACCCGCGAGGGTCTACGAGTCTACGATCGCTTCGCACGAGGTACGGTCCTATGAACGGGAGCGTTTCGCCGTCACATGATAATACAACACAAATTGATCTGCCATGTTAGAAAGTGGACACTGTTGTGAGAGGCCTGCCAGCCGCGCCGGCCTGAATGTTCCTAGACCGCCAGCGGCGCGCGCGCCCGCGCGCACCCGCCGAGCACGCTGCGTGGCGCTGCCGGACGTCGCCGTCGTCGCGACGGTAGTACGCCGTCGCGGCGTGTCGCCGTCGTCGTCATCGTCGCCGTCGAGTCAAAAGTATCCGTGCGCGTCTCGCTCCGTCTGCTCTCGTCGCGTCGCGCCGCGCCGCGTCGCGTCCGCAGCATTCAGCAATAAAAATGGCGACCGAGGATATCGACCGTGCCAAGGTACCGCGAGAAATTCTTCGTCTGCACGCTAATTAGTCGTCTCGCCGACGCTGCGGATAGTGACGCGCTGGCGGCGCAACTCCTGCGGTCCCGTCGTGGCCTGCCGTCGTCGCGAACGTCGACGATTGTCGGCGCACACGCGTCGAAAATTCGTCCGCTACACTTCCGAGGCAGTGAGACGCGATCCAACGATCGCGAGGCGATCGACGTATCTGTATTGATTGGCCGTTAATTTGTCGCTCGCTCTTTCCGCCGAGATATCATTTCGGGGAAGCGGATGTGTAATGACCATGGCACGTCCTACTGTGCGGTTCTTCGTCGCAGATTCAAGGGTGTTGCCTGTCCCTGTGACTCTGCACGTCCATATTAAGCGTTCACGCTTGCTTTCCGCCCATTTACGGGCACAAGCGTGACTTGAATCTCTTTGCAGAATCGTAATGTCAGTTGCTTATTTCTGTTATCAGATGGAGTGCATGCTGCGTACTCTAAAGTTAGCTGGTCACGTTGGATTCGACAGTCTACCCAGCCAGTTGGTGAACAAGTCGGTGCAAAATGGATTCTTATTCAACATCCTCTGCATCGGTAAGATGAATGTCAAGCTTTACTGAATCTATTGATATACTTGCCTTGATTTAATCACAATAGGTGAGACTGGCCTTGGAAAATCCACGCTCATGGATTCTCTTTTTAACACAAGCTTCGAGTCCAGCCCTAGTCCTCATAATTTGCCATCCGTGAAACTCAAAGCGCACACTTATGAGCTACAAGAGAGTAATGTTAGGCTGAAGTTAACTATCGTCGACACGGTTGGTTATGGTGACCAAATCAACAAGGAAGATAGCTTTAAGGCGGTCGTTGATTACATAGATGCGCAGTTTGAAGCATACCTGCAGGAAGAATTGAAAATCAAGCGTTCACTGTCGACTTATCATGACAGTCGTATCCATGTTTGCCTTTATTTCATATGCCCCACTGGTCATGGGTAAGTGTATACATCTCAATTTTACAAATTGTGCATTGATTATGTGTCAGTTATAAATATTGCTCTAATCATATTTCCAATACTTTCAGTTTAAAATCTATTGATTTAGTGTGCATGAAGAAGCTGGATACCAAAGTTAATATCATTCCAATTATTGCTAAGGCTGATACAATATCAAAGACTGAATTACAAAAGTTCAAAGTATGTAGTGTTCTATTTGATTTTAATATATTTGTTATTTATGAAGTAGCATGTTATTGTGTGACTGAGATAAATTCCTTTACATTGCAGAGCAAAATCATATCTGAGTTACAAAACAATGGAATACACATTTATCAGTTTCCCACTGATGACGAGAGTGTATCGGAAGTAAACGGTACTATGAATACTCATGTGCCATTTGCCGTTGTTGGCAGTACCGATTTTGTTCGTGTAGGCAATAAGATGATGCGCTCCCGTCAGTATCCATGGGGCACAGTTCAAGGTACGACGATAATTCTAAGTCTAAGTGATGAATAGAACCAGAAGTTTGCGTGCATTAACTCTCTTAATGCTTCAGTCGAGAACGAATCTCATTGCGACTTTGTAAAGTTACGTGAGATGCTGATAAGCACCAATATGGAAGATATGCGCGAGAAAACGCACTGCCGCCATTACGAACTTTATCGCAAGAAGAGGTTGGAACAGGTGCGTTTCATCATTCGTTGGAAATTTCGAGAAACTTGCACCTTCCTTGTCGTTATTTGCATATACATGTACATGCAAAATTTCCAGATGGGTTTCAGCGATGTTGATAGCGACAACAAACCGGTGAGCTTCCAACAGACATGCGAGGCAAAGAGATCTATTCACTTACAAGAATTGCAGCAAAAGGAAGACGAAATGAGACAGATGTTTGTCGCCCGTGTGAAGGAAAAAGAAGCTGAACTGAAGGAAGCGGAGAAAGAGGTAATGATATTTTGAATTCAACTGTATCAACAAAATCGCTGTTCTCATTGGCCGATTTATTTGCAATCCTTAGCTTCATAGTAAATTCGACAAGTTGAAAAAGGACCATACGGAAGAAAAGAAGAAATTGGAGGAAAGCCGTAAGAAACTTGAGGACGACATATTGGAATTTAACAGACGGAAAGCGCAATTTGCGCAGCAACCCCAACACCACACGTTGACTTTAGGCAAAAGCAAAAAGAAGTGAAAAGTATTCAGGCAGAAAGACATCTTTTTATACCATTCACACGTGACTATGCATTGTAATTGCATTATTCATCGAAAGTATTGTTATTTTAATTATCGTATACCTGATTATATATTATTTTATTATATTCTATTGTTTTATTGTACTATATCTTATAGTATTTGATTGTACCAAAAGTTTCTCTAAGCATGCGCGAAAAGTTCCGCCAAGAAAAGGCCGATACGACTCGCATTAAGTAGAAGCAATACCCGTGAGAAGAAAATATTTAATTGAAATTTTATTTGTATCTTGCTTTATAGTGACATTAACTTTGTATGAAATATATATTTAGTACATCATTAACAATCTGGTTTCTTTGCAACAATGTATCGCGATTAATAGTAATATCAGTAATTAATATCAGTTTCTACGATGCTGAACAATGAAATTTTCATACTCACTTAGAATCTTAGAAGAAAGCAGTGTTATCTGAATATTTCATCTCAGCAAGTGCTTGATAATACGTGTGTAAAATATTTTTAATATTAGTTTTATATTACGCACACGCGCAAGAAGAAAGATTGTTTAGGCAAAATTCAACAAGCTGTTACTTCTACAAAAGTGATGCTAATAGGATAATTCGAGGAACGTCTCAAAAGTTTTTCCACTTTAAGCTTTTCCAGTTTCGGAATATAGTTTATACATTTCTTTACAGCGCTACGCAAATATAAATTAAGACGTGTCAAACGTCAAAAATTATTAAATATGCCGAGTCACATCAAATAAACTGAAAATTACATACGAACGACCTTTGTACTGTTTAAACAAATTCTCTTCCGTAATGTACGCATATGTAGATTATAATACGATAATTTTTACTAAGCTATTCAATTTTACTCACTGCAAAAAGCAAAGAAAAAACAATTTAATCGCTCGCACAAAGCGAATAAATTGATATGGCACTCATAAAAGAAAAAATAGAAAGCTGGAAATCTTCTTTTTAAAATGTATTCTTCAGAATTTCAATAAAAATAAACTTTTTGTGTAAAAACTCAGGTGAAATATAAGATCTGAAATTTAACGCCCATCAGTTTTCTTTTGCCTGACATATTTTCACGAGAAACAACAAAAAATTTGATATACAACTAAAAATTAGAAATTTGTAGCTGCAATTGTAGCTGCTTTTCGAATCATGTCAATAGCGTAGTTTCTGAATGCCCGTTGAATTTTGTCAATTTGTCACGATAGAATAAAAACGCTCAGAGAGAAAGAGAGAGAGAGAGAGAGAGAAAGAGAGCTCTTTTATTAAATAATATCTAGATATATACTTAATGTAACAATACGCTGCTCGATTGCAAAACTTGCAAATAAAAATATCTAGCTTTCTGTTGAAATATATAATTAAAAATTAAAGGGGTAATCAAAGGAAAGATCTCCTAATTGCTGTGAAATAGTAAAATTCGAAATTAAAGGTATTTCCCTCTCCCCGTCACTTGTACTAAGGCTGCGTTCTGAAATTCACTGCTAGTATTGAAAATCTATAATATACACAAACTATATATTTTCAGTACTGGAAATGAATTTCGGAACGCAGCCTAAAATGTGATCTTTGGTGAGGATGGTGGCAACTCGTAACGAAGATTTCGAAATTAAAGCAAAAAAAGAAAAAAACGAATCTAATATTTGCATGAGTTTAAAAAATTGCTCGTTTTTTATCAGGACTCAACAGACTCTTTTTTTAATCAAAATTCGAATCTTTCAGCCGAACAAATTATATAATTATTAAGCCGATATCTTCATAGTCCAATCTTATGTATTTAAAATCATCTGATTCCGTTTTTAGATGCTTTATAGCCAATGAAACGGTCCGTACAATATCTTAAAGCGTTTGCAAGTGAGCTGTTTTGATCGATTCCAAATCGATTAATGATATCATAAACTTTATAATAGATTAAACAGAGCTCATGACATATTAATCATTAACTAAAATCTGTCAAGAATACCATTAGATTAAATTAAGATAACTATAAATGTAAGTTTTAACTACGAATACGGTTCTTGACTCCGTAATTATTATTTATTTCATAATCTCTGCTAGGAATCGCCACCGTCGAAAAATCGAGTTCGTAGTACAACTCAACGGCAAGTTAGACTTTAAATTTTGCTATTTTATTAGAGAAAAAATCCTCTTACATTCAAATAATATGACTTAACAATTAGCTCTTTTATTTCCAAGTTTTATGATTCGGGAACAATACAGAATATGTTTGTATCTTCAAGCTCTGCTATTGAAGAAATCGCAAGTTCTTATATCACTATTATTTAACAAAAGATCAAACAGGTTTTTATAGTATCGCGGAAAATAAATAAGATTCAGTAGGCAATATCGAGTTGTATTGAGATCAAATTAAAAATAAACATTCAATTTCCAATTTCATCCTTGATTTGTATCTATATTGAAAAATCATTTTTCTTAAAAGTTATTTTAAGAACTTGCTTTAAAGAAAAGACTTTTAGCTTTCTATTCACCTCTTATAACGAGTGTCTCACATCAATTCGATCTACTTTCGCGGATTAAACTGAAGTTAAAGTGGCATTTTATTTCAGTATTAAATAACTTGGTAAAGAAAAATTACATTGCAATACACAGGTAAAAAAAGTTCAGAAGGAAGGTCCGTGCTTTCACATGATAAGAAAGCGATTTAAGTGTCGTAAAAAAAAATGACCCGCCTTTTCTATACGTAGTATATATTCCAGTAACATTTTTAAGATTACAGTCAAATGTTTTATTGTTCAACAAAATGTAACGACTGACATGATAGCATCGAACGTAAGTTGAATCGATAAGATGATGTCATATATACCCGTTGCATACCCGTTTCACAACGGTTTAGCACTTCTCTGAGTTTGAAACGCAGCCGATGATTTCTGATAAGAGAATCTATCAGATAAGAGAATTTATGGATATTAAGAAAAAATTCTCTCATTAGATTTGACTGCTTTCCAAACTGCATCGAGAAGTGTCCAATCCGCGCTGAAACCAAATGCACATATGTACATATTGGACACAATCTTGCAACTCACGAAGGTTTAGTACAGTTATTACGAACAAAAGCTGAACATAGCATACGCGATATAATGTTGTTACAGTACTAATTAATAGTCGAATCATTACGATGAAACGGTGGTACCTAATGGTAGCCCATTTAAAAATACGCGTGTATGTGTATATACGAGTGTATCGATTAGACCGCTTTAACGCCTCGCCGAAACAATGACCCAACTAAATTGATAATATTACAGTATCATCAAAGTATGTCTCCTACTCGCTACGATATGTGTGCATCGTAATAATATCAGCGCACATCGACAAAATTCAAACGTCCCTTGCGTAGTTCCTGATAAAAAGGCAGCCGACCGTGTATAAATTAACAACTTATATTACACACATAGAATATATATATAACTAATATGCAAAATCCGCTGACAAACATTAACGCTGTCTGTGTGTGTATGTGTGTGTGTGTAAAGCAGGTACGATTAACTTAAACTTTAACTAACTGTTCGTCCACACATCGGGGTAACGTATTTACAGTTACATAATATGGCGAAGTTGCGTTGATCAGGCAGGGCGGTTTAAGTTACTAGTGTAAGAAGTGACCCTTTTTTGCAAGTAATCGTAGCTGTGTAACGCAAGGCTCTATATATATTCGACGATAACTCGTCCAACCTAACCTTCCTACGTGCAAATCGCATGACTCTACTTCGCAAAGGATAATCGAAGACGATGAACGGATTACCACAATTGACAACACTCCATGACGCAACCGATCGCGACTGATGACTCTAGATAGCCTCAACGAGCCGACATTACTCGTCGCGTGTTTCTTTGCTTTGGTATTCCCTTGCATACTGTACCCTTGCATTTCTGTAAGCCGAACAATCAGACAGTTTAATCATCATCTCTCGCCGACCACATTACCACCTTACGTTCTAGGTATTTATATAAAAGTACAAAACATATATACGTATCGTAGCAATTATCATGTAGCATTTTACATGTTAGACGGTACAAGTGAGTTGCATCGGAGACATATTAATCGAATGCTTAAAGTGCGCCGATAACTCTCAGGGCCGGCTGAAGTACAAGAACCGTGCAGTAGCAAGAACCGCTGACCAGAGTTAAAAACGAGTGACACAGCGAACATATGTATATATATATATATATATATATATTCAAGAGCTTACTTCAAAAGCGGACAGATGTTCCAAGCTGTGCCACATTTCCGGTGACAGTTAATTGACTCTCGCAAGTAACAGTACAGTTATGGGAATGAGAAAAAATTCGTCAGTTTGACGAATCGAATAGGTTCCCCCACGAGAACGGTTCTTGAATCGGATGGAGCTTGGAGTATACAGTGTGTACATGATCAGGCCGACCCCACGTGATTATCATAAGTGCCTCGTGCTCGCGCGTCGCAAAATATGACAGTGCGCTATAATAATGTATTAGTTTGCAAGGTATAGCAATGACCAAAACAAAATTGTGCTGGATGCTGCACGTTAAAGACAACGTTTTGACTTCAGTAACGAGGACAATCACGCAGATACCCCGATTGCAGGGTATTTGCGTTGTTATCGAGCTGTGAAGTGGAATAAGCGGCGATAGTCGCTCGAAGAAATCATGTTGCAAAGAAATTTCGTCGTGAAGAGAGACACATTCATCTTCCCTTAAGGCATGACACGTTTTATACGGACGATATCCTACCTGAGATTTTAATTGCACTTTTATCTTCTCTTTATTGCACATACAAGCGCAGTACGTTTGAGCTTATCAAGAAAGTGAATATTTATTCAAAAATTACCGTTATCGTTATATTATCAGTAATTACGGTTACATCGTGACGACACAGTTCTGAAAATAATGTTTGGTCATTGCGATCTTAACACTACCACTACCGAGTGCATCACACTTCCTGGGACCCGCCGAAGAATGTCCAAGTAGACGCGCGGAAAATGCATCAGCACCTGAAGAACTAATAACCCAAGATAGAAGCGTAAGTTGGAGCACGTCTACGATTAATACAGACTAGCCAAAGCTACCCCGGCTGCATTCGGAGACCCGGCCAAGCTGCTCACACTTGGGAACCTCAGGTGTTCAGCTCAGGTTAGCCCGATTGGTTTCGTCAGAAACCGCGGCGTATTGCGACGTCTACGAGGATACACACATTCGGCACACATGCTACTCGACCACTCTTTACGACGTAGTAAAAATAGTGATTCGTGTGTGTCTCTACACCGTGACTGACGCGTTATTACGTATTGCAGCAGCACGACACGCGCGTACGCACTTGACACGATCTGAGGTGTATAGTAGGTACGAGTGTAAGGAAGAGGAGGCATCATTGCAAATTGGCTTAGGCGGTGCGTACCGTGATTTTCGCCGGCGGACTCACGGGTAACATTGCGAACAACTTATCGGAATATGTGCATGTGTGTGAGTGTGTGTACATGTGAGTGTGTATACATGTGAGTGTAACCGCAAGCTCTCGGCCACTGCCGTCGTTCTCCCTCAAAGTCGCCAACTCACCGAGAGTAGTTGGGCAAGAGGAATGTATCATACGCGAGAGAAAGAGAGAGAGTCGCGCAAATTGCGCGTCTCTACGGTAACTCGAGCCGCCGCGCGTTTTCGTCGCGTCATTTGGCGGCGCGCGACGCGGCGCGACGCGACGCGACGCCGCACGTCGACGTGTGTTCCGCGAGTCGGAGGATCATCGGCTGCCCCTATGGGACGAGACGCGAGGATGTAGCGGTGATGTAGCCGTATAAGGAGCAGGATGCTTGAGTCGCACGTGCGCCACGCGTGCGAGCGAGCGAAAGAGAGACATAGAGAGAGAGAGAGAGAGAGAGAGAGAGAAAGAGAGAGAGAGAGAGAGAGAGGCAGACGGAGTCGCATGGTCGCACGGGCGCGTGATTAGGCACTACGTGCTCTTAGGCTAACGACCGGCGCGAGGTTGGCTCCGACGGCGGGCTGCGGTACTTGGCGCGAATGTGCAGGAAGCTGTCGTGCTTGTTGCCGTGAGCGGGTGGCGGTGTGCTCTCGCGGTTGAGGACCCTCACCTGACAGGGGTCGTGCCTCGCCAAAAAATGCTCCAGGGTGTCCCATCCGCCGCCCACTCTCACCATCATGTGTCTTCCCTTGAGGAGCTGCGAACACGTCAGTGGCGCGGTTATTAGCGGCTGACACGCTTACAACAACACGCAACATGCTTGAGGGGGTAAGGGAGGAGTAAGCTCGCCATTCGGCGATTCGGCTACCCCTGGTTAAAGGGTCGTTAACCTTAAACCTTAAACGATACAGTGAGGAAATGCTTTTCGGTACGCGAGGAGCAATTCTGAGTGTCGAATGATACTGGAATCTACTCGGATTTTGTTTCGAATTAGCGGAAAGTCAACAGGACCTACTGATTGAACATGGTGACAAGTCGGCGGCAGGAACCGAGTAGGATCTGTTGTTCCATAATCATTTCAACGTATTGAAATGGAACATACTGCAGATCCTGCTCTGGCTCTTCCTGCTGCCAATCGGCTGTCAAGTTAGTCAGGAAGCACTGTTGACAGAACGCAAGTTTAAGTTTTAAATTTAAATTTTTTATTTAAGTGGGGACATAAATGACGCTGGATCCAGTATAGTGTTCTGGTCGAATCTGCTGCCAGTCTGCCAGCATATTGCTCTAACATTTTGCTTATTATTCACCATACCGGGTATATATACAAAGAGAAAAGAGATTGGTCGAGTTAATGTGATAATGAAGAAGTCAAACGCGTTTTAGTGGAAGGAAATAGAATTTCCAATTACTTAAGAAGCAAACTCTGTCCTGAGAACCGGAAATCCTGTTTCCTTCGACAGAAGTACGATTGCGTTGATACAACCAATCTTTCGTCTTGGATATACATTCATATCGATTGAGATACAAAGAAAGAAAAAAGATGAATAACGACGTATAAGGAGAAATAACGTCAAAATTCTAAATTTTGAATAAATTCTTTGAGTGAAGTTTTTATAAGAGTCGTAGATCAGCGGAAAGAACAATAGATGAACTATAATATGTAATGGTCATAAAATTGTTCCAAATTGTTCATATTCATCCTTGGTATGACAGTGTGACAAGTACACTCGCCGCCTTTTTTCTTTCATTTTTATGATATACGTTTGCAATTTAATGAAAATACATATGATTCAAAAATGTTTCTGATATATTAATATTTACTTTACACGTTTCCTATGGTTTTTATATCCGACTGTTCATTTTTAATTATTTATAAACAAATAAAATTGAAAAAAAAACGATTTAAAAAAATGTAATTTTTTAGAAATTATTTAAGATTAGAAACTGAAAATTTTAATGAATATTCTTCGTATGTCAAAGCATGATATATATTTTTCCAAAAATTTCCCCCCGTTAACTTTTCTCTAAACAAATTACTTGAATAAATTTTGTAAATCCGGCATAAGATTTGTAATTAACGATCTAAAAAATTTTGTATCATGTATCTGATTTACATTCATTCAGACTTATACAGGGTGTTTGGAATTTTTTGGAAACGAAAAATTGTAAAGTATAATCAGATCAAACTGAGAAGAAAAGTCATGTACTATTTTGCAAAAATCACTATAGTTATTAAGTCATTAATGATTGAAAATGACCATATCTAGAGGCTCTTTTAAGTGATAACTTGAAAATTTGTGTATTTATTTGCAAAATGGTAAAAGACCTTTTGTTCAGAATGACTTAATCTATAATAATGTGATTATCTTCAATCATTAATAACTATTGCGATTTTTGCAAAATGGTATATGACTTTTCTTCTCAGTTTAATCTGATTAATCTTCACAATTTTTCTTTTCCATAAGATCCCAGACACACTGTACACTAATCTACTCCTATACGGCAGCCATATTGGATCTACCATTTTGATTTTTTGAAATCTAACCTCGGGTTTTACCACTACTCGGATAATCAGCGACCTAGAAAATATAGAAATACAAGATTTCCTAGAGATTTCCATCGGAGAGGAAAAAATGTGCCACACAAAAGATGAAACAAAAGTCTCGATTCTAATTTATAAGGCGTGTAAGAGATGCGTTTCTCGACAACTGCGGCATCGTGCGTCGCAACGATGAGCATACCCACCCTTATAAAGACGTTACGTCCAGCGATGTGATAGCGGCCTTCGCCGACCTTGCGCACCTTTAACTTGGAACACTTTTCCGACGGGCACTGGCAAAGTCTCTGGACGGCCTCGGTGGCTCTCCGCACCTGCAGAAACAGCGAAAGAGAGGTAAAAGAAAAGCACGCGATGGTATCGCGAGAGATACTTAAGGACGCGTTCAAGACGAAAGGATACGAAACGGAATATATTTAGACAGGCATATTTGTGCGTCGGCCGGCTTCGTTGTTGCCGCACGGACGAAGAACGATTGACTGTCACGCGAGATAAATCGCTTTGACGTGTCGTCGCAGCGAGAAGCGGCGAGTGCCGAAGATACGCCGGTGCGTAACTTCCGCCGCTCGGCAAGTCAGGATTCGACACGCACGTGCAGATGCGTGCGTGGAAAAGCGTACGAGAAAACGCACGATTTCCATCGTCTCGAGGTCTCTCCCCCTCTCCCTCCCCTTCGTCCTTCCTTTTCCGTGTACTATTCTTCCCTCTCGCACGACAATAATTATAATGCTGCGCGACGACCGTGGCACAGCCCATAGAACGAAGGTTTTCTCAAAGATACGCGCGAGATACGCGGAGGTACGCGACCAAAGCAGAATAATGCGTAGGGAACGTTGGCGTGGTGAAACATTAGCATTAATACGGAGGATATAAATTATTCAATTTTCCGTTGTGCATATGCATCTTCCCGTGTGACACGGAAGGAGAGACAGCGTTTCTGCACTACATAACACGTCCCCGGCCAGAAAAGTATCCCACAGTCCTGATCGGCTTAATCCCAACCGCTTGTCAGGGGTCTGTACGCGTTGTGATTTTCAGATTCCCACTATTAGAGAAGAAATGAGGAATTACGACCGAAGAGATATCGATTGGAGGCCCACCCAAATATTCCTGCGTCCAATCTTATGGAGCTGAAGACTGTTCGACGACTGAAAAGGAGAATTCCGCGAGACCTCCTAACATACTAGGTGCTTACAAAGGTTTGTCGAGTCGCAAATCAGTGGAAGTTACCGCGAGATGACAGTTCTGTTCTCTTATGCTTGATAAATTTAAGAAGATACTTTTTACTCACGACTTCAACATTTATCCATGGCATCTTAAATGTGACAACACAACCTCATTTTTATTATAAATAGATAAAAATGGAACCCGATAAAGTGCATCTACGCCACTCTATGCTATTTTTTATTTTAATTAAAGCAAGACTGCTGCGGAAGCAAAACGTTTTCACGCCAGACATTGATTGACGCCCCCATCTGATTCTCATTTATTCAAATCGATACAACACGGCTTGTCCGGCACACGATTTGCTAATACTGAGGAAGCCCGGAAATGGATCGATCATTTCATCGCCTCGAAAGATGTATCGTTTCTTTAGAAATGAGATCAGACAATTACCTAAGAGATGGCAGTGACGGCAGACATTTTGATTAATGATATGTATATAACTTTTTACTGTTAACTAAATAAATTAAATAAATATATTAAAAAATCTGACGAATTTTTACAAGCATCTCATAAGAGGAAAAATAAAGGGAAGAAAACTTGATAAGAACTCTTATCCTGCAAGCCATCATTAACTAAAAAGTTTTACCAGGAATCTTCAGTAGAAACAGATCGTAGAGGAAATTGAAGATAAAAAATGAACTATACGGGATGTCCGGGATCTTTTGGAGACGAAAAATGAGTGATTAATCAGATCGTGAAGATTAATCAGATCAAACTGAACAACCTAGCGACAGGTTCAAGATTCAGGGCTCAAAGTTCAATATACTCATATCTATCGCTAGACACAACAGCCGTCACACGTAATTGTAGATTAGGTCATTCTGAACAAAAGACCTTTACCATTTTGCAAATAAGTACGCAAACTTTCAAATCATCAATTAAAAGAGCGTCTGGATGTAGTCACTTTTAATCATTAATAATTTAATAACTATTACGATTTTTGCAAAATGGTTGACTTTTCTTTTCAATTTGACCTGATTAATCTTCATAACTTTTTGTTTCCAAAAGATTACAGACATCCTGTATATAAAAACCACTGAAGTCTATTAAGTTACATAATGCGGCATGATAATCAGAATCTTATTAGGCTGGACTCTCACTAGACGACTGCAGATAAGTATCTGTCAAACCTCCGTCAAATTTTTTTATAGGAATGACTGAGATGTGACGATGACAGATACTGTGGATATTTAAATGCAAAAGCACCTCGATAAACACCAATCAACAGTAACATTACATCAATGTAATTTCTCACTCAATAATGTAACCATTATCGTACAATCGTAGACAGAGAAATTGTTCGTTATATTTTTTGGAACGCTTCGGTTGGTCCAATGGAAAAATCTTCCATTGAGAAAGAAATTCTCGCGTCGAACAAACCAGGTGCGTTCCGAAATTGATATAAATAATGGCGGACACGCGCGGACTTGCTGAATAGAAAAATATAGTATTCTGGTATGTTTTACTGTTAGCTTGCGTTTCCTGGGATTGAGGAATGTTTTGACGGAAAATTGACGGAGTCCTGTCCGTCACCGCCTAAGCGGATGGTGAAAATTCGCCTTTGGAATTCCATCGTCAGATTCTTGTCAAGTTTTCGTGAGATTCTCACACAGAAAAAAGCACGACAACGAGCGAACGTTAATGGTCGCAAATGTTTTTCGTTAACGCACAGAAACGTAGCACAGAAATCCTTTCCGATTTTTTAAGTCACTACAGCGACAATTTTATAAAACAGCAAATTTTTATAAATGTTTTATATAAACGAACCAACATTTAAAGTACGTTTATCACTTCAGATCCACTTAATCAATCTCTACTCAACCTTTACTCGACTGTAATGAATAATCTTTGAAGCTGAAGAAGACACAATAGCCCTAGGAAATTGCAACTTGAAATTTGGATTTTATATTTGTGCTTGTAGATTATACATTGGATGTTCCTCAAGTCAAATCGTGTTTATGTAAAATCGTATACAAGTCATCGACTAATCGCTGAACGTCAGTCAGCCTCTAAAAGGCTGTAAAGATAAAATAGATAAATAAGGAAGATAATATAAAAAATATTGAGAGGTATCGCGACCTAGAGGTCAACTCCAGGTCAGATATCCGGCTAGAAATTTATCCCACGGTTCTAATCAAGTTGATTTCAATCACTCGCTAGGTCTGCACAAGGCGATGTTATCGGGCCCTAATAAGTCATCAAACGCGACGTGGTAATCAGAATTTTATCAAAGTATCATCTTCAGATGCTCGTCAAGTTTTCATCAAGTCCTCATACGAGTAAAAAATTATCCCGAGTGAGAGATAAAAGAAACCCGACTATCTCGTTCAATAATTTTAGAAGGTTTAGCATTTCGTTGCTAATACGCGATTTTCCACTTCATCGTAGCCTCTAAGATACAATCGGTGTGTCCTTCACTAAAATGCTATACTCATAATCGGGTGGTTCTACGGTAAGTATAGCATTGCAATCGATAAAATCTCGCTGAAAAGATCAGCCAGTAGCAGCGACTGCTCCCATTACTGACGCAATTTGCAGACACAGACAGTGTCGTTGCGCGGCAAAGCGCATGAAAATCGTTCCTTCCATCGCCAGGAATGCAGAAAGTTAGATTTGGCACAACAAGCTTGTGTACAGATTTTACGGTAAGATCTTATTTTCATTGCAGTCAAAATTGGTGAGATCGAAACAGTAAATACTTCTATCACTAATCAAAAATTTTTTTACTGATTTTTCATTTTAACTGACTTAAGAGAGGTCGCTGATCCTCCTCCCTGATTCTCCATCCGAATATCCCACCATCTCATGAACGCTCATGAACCACCAATCCCTCTACCGACCAGAGCCCTCAGTTGTTTGACTTCAACAACAATCGAGCAGGAATTGACGACGCTAACGAGCTCCCGACGATATACCCGTAGCTTACGCTTGTAAATCATCCTTATGGCTCTTGCTACTTTTTTCACGTCATCTTGATTTTGACGTCGGACATAAGAAAATGGCACACTGAAAATTTTTACGCGCGATAATTCTTACTATTACCAAATAAGGAGAGACTTATATGAAAGAACATCTCAGATCGTTAACATACACTCGTAAATTGCTCGGAAAACTTTTTTTTTCCTTTGACAGTCCACCAAGAGAGCCGTAAAATGCCTAATACGAGGTTTGGTCACGCAGAATGATGACGCATGTGCTTGTCTAGACTTCATATTACAATTATTTCATGGCTATTGATTGACTATCAAGAGAACAGAATAATTTTCGGAATATTTTATAGGTGACCTGAAGTATATTCTTTCATACAAGTATCTTTTTATCTGAAAATGGTACGCCAGAATTTTTAGTGTATTACTTTGTCGCTTCTGACGTCACAATCCAACATGACCGCGACGAGTAGCCACCCAGGAAAAAATATTATTTATGTAAAAATGTTCTCCAACATGGCCATGTATAATCATATATAAGGTGTCCCATAACTCAATACGAGGAATTCGTGCGGATTAAGACAAACATAAAAATCCTATGCCATTTCGCGATATTCGCAATAATAGAATTAGCGAATAGCGACACATTATCCTTCTCCTCGCCGCGCGCTGGCAACTGTTGCTAGATTGACTGCGCCGCGCTATAATCCGAATGGCTATAATGCTCCTCCAATCGTTCACGCCTGCTCATTTGTCAGATTTCTATGATTAATAATTCGATAATTATTGCGAATATCGCAAAACGGTATGGAACTTTTTTGTTCGCCTTAATCTGTTCTACATATCCGCGAGTTCTGTCACAATTGTTCTGGGACACCTTGTATATGTTCACGTCCAAAAGAATGTTGTACAAATGTAATCGAAGTAAATGCTTGTGTTTGCAGCAGACCATGATGTCAATGTTGAATCAAATTATTGTTTCCTCTTTTCATTCAACATTTTTTTCCTGAATATACAGGGTGTCCAGGAGCTTTTGGAAACGAAAAATTGTGAAGATTAATCAGATCAAACTGAGAAGAAAAGACAAATATTATTTTGCGAGAAAACACGATAGTTATTAACTTATTAATGATTGGAAATGACCACACCTAGAAACTCTTTTAATTGATAATTTGAAAATTTGCGTACTTATTTGCAAAATGGCACTTGACTTTTCTTCTTAGTCTCATCTGATTAATCTTCACAATATTTCGCTTCCAAAAGACCCTATACATATGTATATTCAAATATGCTCAGACAAAATTCATATGTAGGTTATATGATTATATAGGATGTCCCTAATTAGCCATCTATTTTGGTGAAGGTAGGAAAGAATCTAAATAATTATTATACTGACATATAATTGTACGTATATTTCTATATAATACCTACATATTTATAATTTTCCAATTGCTTTCCATATTTGGTCTGCGCGGTCTCTACATTTAACACTCTTAGATTTTTTGCCTGGGATTTTATTATCTGCCGACATTTATTTTGAGATGATATTTTTTGTTTAAATGTATAATGATATCATATTATACGAAGATGTCTTTTTATAATTCCCTTCATTTTGCAAAATAGATGATTACTTCAGGGACATCCTCTATATAATCATATATGAATTTAATATAATTATATATGACTAATTTTTTCCCGGTGAGGAACCTTCGAAATTCACGAAAACCTCGCTTTGTGTGCCCGATGGAATTTCCAATCGGGTTACTTCCCTTCAGAATGGCGTTCTGCTCGTCGCTTTATTTCCCCCAAAAATAAGGTTCAATGTAAGTTTTTTGCTGAGTCGCGATCCGGTATTGGCAAAAAAAGCCCGTAGCTCGCTTCGACAATGAAGGACGATACCTTGCGATCGAGTTCTGTTATCGGGCCGGTGTGCTCCGGTGGTTCAGCCGGCGACGGTGACGGCGAGCTTGACGGTGACGGCACCTCGTCCGGGTCCTCGGCGCTACCACGGGACCAGTCATCCTCCGTCGTGTCGCTCGGCACGCCGTCGCTGCCAGTCGGACCATTGTCGCTCACGGACCTCCGCATTTCGGGCTCGTGCGTGGCACCGGTCACCGGGTCCAACCATCGAGTGGCCGTAGTCGTAACTTCGGACGCAGAGCTGAAACACGTAACGAAGCGGACGGCTCTCGGGTACTACACGGGACTACATATCCTTGCAAATGCGAGAAAGAAAGCGCAGAGAAGCGGAAAGAGAAAAGAGGAAAGAACGGACTCTCTCCCATCTCTCTCGAGGCTATCTGATTGAGACGGTTGGGTCGGCGAGTCGACGTTAGATAACGCAAGCTGATTAACATCTTCGCGGATATTGCGGTGATTCATAGCTCTCAACGCGTGAGCTATGTGCTAGAAATATGTGTGCATGGCGAAAACAACGCTCGGCCAGAGAGAGAGAGAGAGAGAGAGAGATAAATTTTATCCAACCGGTTCAACGAAGGAGAGAACGGACGATGCGCGCTGCCGCGGCTGATGTTCCGGGTAGAGCGACGCAGCGCGCCTATCACGGTGTGCGTCTTCAGCATTAGCACCGTGAGCTTCGGCCGCTCCTATGGAGTCGCGTTACGGTCTCCCTCTCGGCAACACCTCGCGGAATTGCCCGTTCAGCCCAGCGACGACAGTCGCGAGCCGGGCGAAATTCGCCTGCCGCTTGTTGTGAACGAGCGGGAACATATCGAAGGAGCCGGACGGAATCCCGAATGCGCGGTAAACGCGTGAGCGAAACAGAAATTATGCGGCCGAATAACTTATGCATTCTGTAACGGTGAAATCTCATTTTATTCCCGCAACATCTTCGCCCGTCGACCGTTACGCGCAGGTAAAACGTGTTGAAAGATGCATAGGATCGACATTGGCATCATCGTCGAGGGTCATCGCGAGAACGAAGTAGGGTGAGACTAGAGCTGCCAGATTTGTAAGTCGGTAGAGAAGGAAAGTCGAAAATTCTGATGAGCAAGACGAGAAATCGTCGGATGGAATGCACCTGTCACCTTTTTCACCTGACCTGAATCAGTCAGTTTTCATATATTATACATTTATGTATATTTTACATGTGCATATTATTGATAAAAGTATAGAGCAGGATTTCCCAACTTTTTTTTATATTTTGCATCCCTAAAAATTTATTAATAAACCTTCGCACCCCCTACAAAAAAAAAATTACTCTCATGTTTTATGGTAAAAATTAGTTGTTAGAGTTTTAAGGTAAGAAGTTAATTTGTAATAATTTATTATTACATAGTATTATTTTATAGAAATTAACTGTCATTTTAATATTATAAAATTATTATCCATGATATCAAACTTCCTATAGTAATACGTAATGAATATATACGTACAGATACGTAAAAAATATATAATTTTAATAACACTTTTTTTAATTTGATGGTAAAAATGCCGGATTATTCCAGAATTCATCTTAATCATTATTAATTACAATCACTTTTCCTCACACCCCTAAGAATGCTTTCTCGCATCCCCAAGAGGTGTGAGCACCCCCGGTTGGGAACCCCTGATATAGAATACCCTGATATAAAAAGTACCGGGACGGTGAAATATCTCGAAAACGAAGCATTTTAGAAAAAAAATGTTTCAGACAATAGTTGTTTGCTTTCAAGGAGGAAACAATTATATCATTTTATTTACAGATAGCACCACTTTCGAAATATTCACTGATCATTACTTTTCTCAGATAGAAACTCAAATTTTTTGTTATATCATCTTTTTTTACCAATTAATTTTGACAACTTTTGTCTGAAACACTTTTTTTTTTAATATTTAGTTTACGAAATATTTCGCCGTCCTGGTACTTTTTATACACCCTGTATATCGACAAAAATGTTACTAGATAGTAACTACGAAAAGTCACTATGACAACATATTTAATGAGTAAAAAAGGGAAACTCCTTCGATTGAGAAAGACAAAAAATAGTCCTTGGCAGGGCTGGACAAATTTTGGCTGGAGAGGAAGACAATGCTTTCCGAAGGAAATCTGGCAGCTCTCAAGTAAAACCGTGCAGTAATCCGCCATTTTTCGACACCTTTGCGCGGTTTCATCAAATATGAAGAAAATGCCGTATTTGGAAACTTTATCGGCAAAAAATCGGCTCTTCTTTACAAACTTTAGTTGTATAGAATTATACATGCTTTTACGTGATAAAATATGTGCAAATAAAAATTGGAGCATTGCTTTGACATGTGACAAAAATGAAAAAAAATTCGAAATTGACATCTTGTGCAGATAAAAAAGTTACGCAGCTCGTACACGTCGGATGTATATGTTTGCCGCGCTCGGGGGAATTTTAAAAAACGTGGCTACAGATGTCCAATTGAATTTAGAAGCTTAAAAATATATACGAGAAATTTGCAGAAATACTACGTTATATTTCTCGCTAAATATAAAACGATTTATGCAGCGCATAAATATATGGTGGTCATGTTATTCTTTATCTAACATGACGTTTTGACGATCGCCTCTACGTTATATTTTTTAAGTTCGTTGGTATCTCCTCAAAATATACAAGAATAAAGAAAATAAATAAACAGACGATCGATGATAATTAATAAATGATTAATAGAGCCACGTATGCATCTTAATATCCGAGCCGCGCAAGAGAGCCGAAAACGAGCAGCCTATGCTATCAAGAAATCACGAATGTTTCACAACCCGTCTTTGTTTTCATGCAGGAAGTAACAGCCATTCATTCGAGAGGCCGGACACGTTGGCGAAGAAACGTTGAAACGACGGTCCGCTTGCTCACCTGCTGTGTTTGATCTTCTCCGGCGGGGTTCTGGGCGTCGCAGTCGGCGACGGCGACTGGAACTGCCAGGAGACGAGGCTGCTGTGAGATATGCCGCTATCGGACAAACAGTGAAGATCCCTTTCCTGCTCTGCCGCAATTTCCCTCTCGAGCTGCACGAGCCCGGGTGGCTCCAAGGAATATCTAGCTGCCAGTCGCGCAACTTCCAGCAGACACAGCACCACGTTCCGTGGCTGGCCGTGTAGGACTGTAAAAGAATTAACCCTTAAAAGCTATCATCAAAGAAAATCACGTTAATGTTGTCACGGATGAAATTCGACCCCGTATATGTATTTCTTTTCTAGAAATTTGTCTAATATTTCTTTTTATTCTAGAAACCCAGGAAATCAAACGAATATAATTAAATATTTTATTATTATTGAATATCAGATGAAAAGTAAAGAAATTATTGTTTGCAGCGGATAACTTAATATTAAACTAAATCAAAAGAAAATTTTCGCATAGAATAAAATTTTACGCCAGTATATATTTTTTTATTTTAGAAATCAAGAAAATCAAACCAATGAAATTAAATGTTTTTATTATTATTGAATGTTAAATGGAAAGTAGAGAAGTTATTGTTTGCGTCGGATAATTTAATATTGGACAAAATAAAAAGAAAATTTTTTCGTATAAAATGAAAGTTTATCTCAATGTATATTTCTTTTATTTTAGAAGTCGAGGAAATTAAATAATATATTTAATGCAGTTAAATAATATATTTAATTTAATTTAATATTTCTTCTAATATTTATTCTAATATTTATTCTAATATTAATTTAATATTATTATTGAATATCAGATGAATGTAGAGAAGTTATTGTTTGTAATAGAGATAATTTAACATTTAGTAAGATCAAAAGAAAATTTATATATAGTGAAATTTCACCCCAGTATATATTTTTTTCTTTTAGAAATCAAGAAAATAAAACAAATACATTTAAATGTTTTATTTTCATGGAGTATCAAATGGCAAGTAGAGAAATTACTATTTACAGTGGATAATTTAACATTGAACAAGATCAAAAGAAAATGTTCGCATAGGGTGAAATTACTGGTTGCAGCAAATTTAATATTGAACAAGATCAGAGGAAAATTTTCACATAGAGTGAGAGAGAGAGAGAGAGAGAGAGAGAGAAAAAGAGAGAGAAATTCTACCCCGGAATATTTATTTTTTATTTTAAAAATCGAGGGAGCCAAACAAATGTAGTCAAATGTTCCATTATTATCAAATATTCGATGAAAAGTAAAAAAGTCACTTTTTGCGGCGAATAATTTAACACTGAATATGGTCGAGAGAAAAAGTACTTGTATAGGCTGAAATTTCATCCACGGTAACCCTTTAAGGGTTAAGCCCGCTGTGTATATCATCGTCCCTCTCACGTACGACTTCGTGGCTGACTTCTTCCGAGGTGGCTGCACGCTACGCTCGATTACGCGCCGTTACGTCACTCGCGTAACTGCACGCGCGCATTGTCTCGCGACGGCAATTAAACTTGGTCATGCGGGAAAGCGAGCCGATGATGACGATCCGAGGCACCGAGGTGCCGCGGGTTCGCTCCACTTTCCTCCTCGGAGTCGCCCGCCAACGATTACTCTCGCTTCGCGGCCACTCCGGATTCGCGCGCGCGCGCCTTTCGTAATTTATGCGACGCACGTTCCTACACGCGCGGCCCACGGAGGGGATCGCGCGAGTCGATTACTATGTTTCCCCTAATTACCGCCCATCAGCTTAGACGGGCACGCACTTAAATAGCGTCTCGTTGAAAGTCGTCCGACAGGACGGACGAACGCGCGCGCCGCGCGTCCCCGGTTAATTCGCATATATTAAAGTTACTTGTGCCGAGGCTTTACCGAGATCGTCGCTTTCGAAGAGAAGATTCTCGTGGACGCCCAACCGCCGGCAGAATTGGATGAAGTTCTCCATGTTGTCGCGGGAAAAGAAGCTGCGCCGCGCGGCGTTCTCCCAACAGCGGCCTCTTATCACCGGCATTGGCTGCGAATGTACACATTCGATATGAGAAGAACGAAATGATGGCCGATCTTTCATTTGACTTTCAGAAGATCAATCTCTCCTCCAAAAGTCGGTCTTCTTTAGAACGATTCTCTTTTGCTCGATTTTTCTGCAGATTGATTCTTCCAACTTATCCATGTACTTATTTATGAATATTGTTTCGGTTAATGAAGAATTCAAATGGAATCCTTGAAATATTTGAAAGAATCGACTTGTATGGAAACCGAACAGAAAAGCATCGATTTAAAAAATCGATTTCCTGAAAATCGAATCGAGATCGGCCATCGCTAAAATAAAGTGAGGAGCCAGATATCGAGTCACTCAAGAAACTCGATTGAACGATGTATATAATCCAGTTATTTCCTACATGGAAAAAAAAATCTCAATTCATAGACTCAATAAGGATCAGACGAAAATGCAAGGTTAGAAAATTATCTCTGTTAGCGTGACCGCAAAAACATTCATCTGAACGTTTAGCTATACTAAAAGTCAATTAAGATAATCGAAAACAACAACTGGCTGATTGAAAACCTCCTGTTGGAATTTTTTTGTCCTTGCAACCGAATTTCCTATCTGCAGGTCTACTCCATAATTTTCTATGATAATGTCGTTATCATCATGTAGTTGTTTCTCTGTCGTGTTATATCTGCGAAACAATATAATATAGCGAAAAAGACACTCTCGTTAAAAGTTGCGAAATAAGCCTTCTTATTCTTCCCAGACAACGGAAAGTTCAGTTATAGTACCGGAATTTTCTCCGTGTATGATGAAATTATATACGAATGCTACCAAGATGTTGATGAGAAACAACAAACTCCCCCAATTCAATTTCCCAAATAACTCTAATCAATGTGAATAAAAAAATGAATAACTAGCTAGCGCAAGCTAGATAAAATTTTTTAGTTTATTATTAGTTCATTATTACATGCAAGAAAAAGCTCAATACGTGTAACTAAATTTAGACCAAACAAAAACTCAACAGTGACGTCAGAGAACGATGTACCTGCGAGCGAAGAATGTTCGCCTGCATTAAATCTTAGTTAAGATGACTGATAACGATTGACTGAGCAAAAATCTCCTACGGGAATTTTTGTTCTGCAACTAAATTTTTTTGTTTGTTCCCCAGACAATAGAAATTCAGGTATTTTTTTTTCTGTATGACTATTCGCCGAAATGTAGAAACAATTTTATAATCTAGCTGTTTTCTGGTCATTAGATATCAAATATAATGGAGTATTTGATCCATTTCGTCCATTTTAAAATATATAACTTTTCCCCGTTACATCACTAATAATATTTTGAAATTAAATACACAGAAGAACAACTGACTTTTTGTTGTCTGTAAATTAGACAAAAATTCAGAACAAAAAGATTCTCGCAGAAGATTTCTTTCTGTTCAGTCATTTCTCTCTTCAATTATTCCCAGCATATTTTAACACAGCGGAATATTTTAACAGATATTCTTCGTTACTATAACAGAAATATCGTTTCTCCTAGTTTCCGTCTAATCCCCATTTTTTGTTACACACACCCAAAAAAAGTATTCTATTTGTAAAATGATTTTTCTCATAGTCTTATATTCTCGAAGTCTCATACTTTCAAAGCCTTTTATACAAAAAGGATTCCTCTTTCGATAAAGCGATTAAAATGAACCATTCATGTAAAATTTATTAGATATTATTCTAATTGTTTTCCTCTTATTTCAAGAGGATTTTCTCTTATCTCAATTAATTTTCCTCTTATATGAAGAGGAATATGTTAATTTGAATGTCCCCTTCTTTTGTTCAGTCATACTCTATCTTCAGTCATGAACGAAAAGATAACCTCATGGGCTCATATGCTCATGGGTCAGAATATTTGGAACGCTTTTTAAAAAAAGGAAGTTGTAGCTATGAAATCCATAACAAAACTGATTGGAAATTTATTTGTTATGATGATCTTATTTCATTCATGTCTACTTAATGTAGTACTGGAGCCAGAAGTACATGCTTATATATGTATATATATATTACTTTTCGCTATATATTATAATAATTTTTTCAAATTAACCAGTAAGAATAAAGTATAGTAAAAATAAATAATAATCCTCTTAAAAAAAATTAAATAATCTGTGTGTAAGAGGAAATTTATATTATAATATATATATATTATAATATATATATATATATATATAAAATCAATAATATTTGCATTATACATATAACATATAATTCCTCTAACTTTAAAAATAATGTGTTTACAATATTTTCCTCTTAATTTTAAAGGAATCCTCTTGAAGTTATATATGAGAGTAAAATCCTCTAAAATTTAAATGATTCCGCTTGTTGTGAAATTACTTTTCTTGGGTGCAAACTGAGATTTCCTTTCGTTCAGCAAATTTAAATTAACTACTAATTGTCTCATAAAAATTTTAAAAAGAAAAAACAGAATTGAACGTTCTACTACAGACAATTAGTCACGATTTGTCATCTCATAATTGTAATTTTTTTATCCCACCATCAGTTAATTTATTCGTCTAGCCACTAAGAGAAGCAAGCGTTAAATTACTGGCCAACAGTGGCATTGACGAACATAGATTTTTTACTTTGTGGCTGGACGCTCAGAAATCCCAAATGCAACTCGTTTCTGTCAAGTTCGATCACGTGAAATTTGACTGAAAAAATCAAGTGAACGATGAATAACTTGCTTACTCCTTTCGCCCGTCCGGCGTCTATCGCGGATCTCGCTTTTTCCTGGATGACTCTCGCCAGTCGACACACAACCACGCCATTGTCGAGCACGTCGAAGAAATTGTCGCCCGTTATGTAATCCACATCTGAAACTCGCAAATTATGGATTTAGCTGGCAGCTGGGACTACGTCGCGTAACGAGGAGGGGAGGGGAAGAGGGATTCGCGATCGAGCGATGCTCACGCATGAGCGCTCGCATACGTGTGTTGAATCCTTCCATATAAATCGCAGGCATCTTTCAATGACACTCAAGTGGCTCGATGAAGCCGTACATTGTGACGAGAAGAATAGCCCGCCGCACACGCTTATTCAGCCTTCGTCAAACCGTTGTAAATTATGATTACACTCCGTAGCTGCTCCCCCCCCTCTCTCTCTCTCTCTCTCTCTCTCTCTCTTTCTCTCTTTCTCTCTCTCGGTCTTATCGTAATCACGATACGCGGGCTTTATAATGCCCCGTACGCGAGTCGACGAGTTTCGCGATATAATTAATAGCGAAAGCAACGGCTAAATTTGTAACGAGGCTCACGAGGATCGAATCTCGCCGCTCCTTCTGCAAATTTACCCAGAAAGAGGCGGCGGCGGCGGCTGCGGTCAGGATACAATCGAGCGGCGATATAATTGCAGTCATCGTGCGTAAGTATACCAGACGCAACGGTGATTCGTCCATGTATCGAATGTCGATCGGCGAGCCGGTTTGGTCGGTCGAAGGAAGGCTGTTCGAAGAAACGAATTTATCTCGAATGATCGTGCCGTAAATCATTTATCGCGATGTATCAGTAGCACACACGGTGCACTGCCAAGGACGACACGTTTAATGGGAATCGCCGAGTCGCCCAGCAAGAAGACAATGAGAGTCGTCAGTTTAGGCCGTAACGACGCGTGAGATCTTAATCGTCCAACCTTCCGCGCGTTCTGGAGCGTCGAAAGGAGCCGAGTGCCGAAGAGAGCCGCGCGCGTGTAATATTAGGTTAATCGGAAAGTTCCGTCCGTTTTTTTTACAAAACGTATGGCTTTATTTAAGAAACAAAAAGGAAAAAGTATATTAATCAGTCAACAAGCGAATTCCGCGGCGAAAGAATGACTCATCTTTGGAGGTTATCCAGTCAGAGACCCATTTTTCGACGTTTTCATAAGAATTGAAGCATTCGTCAGCAAGTGCGTATGCGGCAGTCTGGTGAATAAGCCGCATGGGGTAACACTTCCTAGCGAAGCGTTTCTAACGTTTCCTTAACAGATTTTATGACGTGAGGCCGAGCGTTGTCATGAAGCAAAATCATTTTATGCTATCTCGTTTCATATTCTAGTCAGTTTTCGTGCAATGCTCGGCTCAAACGGATCATTTGTTCTCTGTAGAGATCCCCTGTGACTGTTTGATCACTTTTCAACAGCTCACTTTGGTACAGCACACCCTTCTGATCCCACCAAATACAGAGCATTGCCTTCTTTCCGTGAATATTCCGCTTTGGCGTCGATGTTGAGGGTTGGCCGGGATCGCAAATTTTTCGACGTTTTCAAAATAAAATTGAGGGTTGTCAAAATAAATCCATTTTTCATCCCCAGTGATGATACGATGTAAAAACCCTTTCTTTGTTGCCTAGCAAGCAGAATTTCGCAGGTGGTTTTTCACCTTTCAATGTCTCTTGGGTTCAGTTCATACGGGATCCATTTCCCTTCCTTGTAAACCTTTCCTAAGGCTTTCAAACAAAATGACAGATTGAGCACAATTTAATGCTTCTGCAAGTTACTTTTGCGTTTGACATGGGTCCACCGAGACCTGCAATTCTTCGTCTTCGAATACTCTTAGCCATCCAGAACGCTCTTTGTTCTCTACATCAAAATCACCACTTTTAAAGCATCGAAACCATTCTCTGCATGTTTTATCAGAAGCTGCATTATCACTATATGGTAAACTTCTACAAATATTCGGTGAGCTTCTGCTGCAGTTTTCCTCCAACTGAAGCAAAAAATTAACACTTCGCGCAAATGACACTTATTTAACTCAACTTTCAATATTTTCGATGCAGTAAAAAACAATATTATTGATGCAAACGTATAACTTCATGTACTGAATTGACAGATGTCAAAGCAAACCATTAAGCTTTAGACATTAGAGGATAACGACAGTTCATAGCTATAGCTATTTACTGCCAGATGGACGGAACTTTCCAATTTACCTAATACAATTGCTCGAGGAAGAGGAGGAGGAGGAGGAGCGAACCTATATGAAGTTAACCCCCGACTTTTAAAAAAAAATTTTTTGCATAAAATTGCGTCAAATCGTTTGTAGAAATATGTAGTGAAAGACTTTTCATTTATAGTTAAAAAATAAAAAAGTTACGAGGGGTTGAAAAAATGGTCAGCCCCCCAAAATGAGAGGCTGACTTAAAACCTGACCTAATCGAAGCCAAATCGTTTGTAGAAATATGTAGTGAAAGAATTTTCGTTTGTAGTTGACCAGGAAAAAAGTTACAACCCCTTAAGTTCTAAGGGTAGCTATTTCCGCCCCGTCGTGGGGGCTGACGTGAAACCGGTCCTAATCGACGCTAATAGGTTTTTAGAAATATGTAGTGAAAGAATTTTCGTTTGTAGTTGTCCAGTATAGAAATGGCAGCAATTTTTGCAATAGGGGTGATTGTATTTTCAACCCTATCGGGGGGGCTGAGTTCTAAACCGACTAGATCGAAGCCACATAATGCGTAGACGTTTGTAGTGAAGGAATTTTCGTTTGTAGTTGTCTAAAATAGAAATGGAAGCAATTTTTGTGTGAAGGGTGGGTGTTTCTTCAACCCCATCGGGGGGGCTGCGTTCTAAATCGAAGCCAAATAACGCGTAGACGTTTGTAGTGAACGAATTTTCGTTTGTAGTTGTCTAGAATAGAAATGGTAGCAATTACAGTGTGAAGGGTGGATGTTTCTTCAACCCCATCGGGGGGCTGCATTCTAAACCGACTATATCAAAGCCAAATAACGCGTAGACGTTTGTAGTGAACGAATTTTCGTTTGTAGTTGTCTAGAATAGAAATGGCAGCAATTATAATGTGAAGGGTGGATGTTTCTTCAACCCCATCGGGGGGGCTGCGTTCTAAGCCGACTAGTCTAGTCTATTAGTATAGAATTGCTGCCATTTCTATACTAGACAACTACAAACGAAAATTCCTTCACTACAAACCTCTACGCATTATTTAGCTTTGATATAGTCGGTTGAGGACGTAGCCCCCCCGATGGGGTTGAAGAAACACCCACCCTTCACACAAAAATTACTTCCATTTCTATTTTAGACAACTACAAACGAAAATTCCTTCACTACAAACGTCTACGCATTATGTGGCTTCGATTTAATCGGTTTAGAACGCAGCCCCCCCGATAGGGTTGAAAATACAATCACCCCTATTGCAAAAATTGCTGCCATTTCTATACTGGACAACTACAAACGAAAATTCTTTCACTACATATTTCTATAAACCTATTAACGTCGATTAGGACCGGTTTTACGTCAGCCCCGACGGGGCGGAAATAGCTACCCTTAGAACTTAAGGGGTTGTAACTTTTTTCCTGGTCAACTACAAACGAAAATTCTTTCACTACATATTTCTACAAACGATTTGGCTTCGATTAGGTCAGGTTTTAAGTCAGCCTTCCATTTTGGGGGGCTAACCATTTTCTCAACCCCTCGTAACTTTTTTATTTTTTAACTACAAACGAAAAGTCTTTCACTACATATTTCTACAAACGATTTGACGCAATTTTATGCAAAAAAAAATTTTTTTTTTTAAGTCGGGGACTAACTTCACATAGGTGAGGAGCGATCATAAGCCAAATTGGCCAAGTTGGCTACAATAATTTTTTGACGAATTTCGGTTTAAAACGTGCTACTAATTATATATACGATCATTATAAAGATTTCGTATAAGTTTTCCATGAAATAAAGTGCAAATCTACATGTAAGAATATTTTCAATTAAGAAAGCATAATATTGCACATCAATAAGTATTCAACTAGACAAACTCTAAATTTCTTCATCTAATAAGTGTATTCCATCCTCAGAATCAACATCATTTTCATTTATTGAAATATCTTCTCTTCTTGATGTGGGATCAGTGAGAAAAAGCATATCCAATGTTTCCTTTAAAATTGGTTTAAATCTCTTCCTTGGTACGGATCTCATATTTGTTAGTAACTTAGTATCAGAACTTAGTAGAAGTCTGTTGATTATATCCATATTACAAAAGGAAACAAAAAGAAACAAACGGAAACTTCATGTCTAAATAACCTTTGGATAAAACCTAATTTACGTTTAGGGAAACAAAAGTAATTACCAAAACTATATCCGCGGTTGTCCGTGGCTAATTTTTTCTGATATTTTATCCGGAAAGATTGCTCTTCCATTTCATCCAAGAAACATAACAAGGATAGACCCTGAAGTATAACTAAATCCTTCGAGTTTGACATTGAGAACGCAAAAAGATACATTATTGAATGTTATTTTCAAAATCGTATATCTACGTGAATAACGATTCAATTATAATAAATATAGTCTAAAACGTTTCTTTATACCTTTCTCGAAACAATCCATAACGAAAAATCTCGCGCTACCACTTCTAAGAACCTTAAAATTCTGATCAAAGATCGTATGTTATAAAGCACTGAGAATTGATGCATGCAATACGAATAACATCCAAATTCTGACTAATCAAACCACATCATGTTATCGCGAACGAACAAAAGCATAGCGGCCCATTATTCCACAGATATTCAACTGTCTAAAATAGTCACTCATGTAGAACAGAAATAATTTTAAAAAGATTGACTTTTGACCAGTTTTTCAGGCCAAACATCCTACAGTGCGTCGGATGAGGGAAATTTTTAAGTCGGGCGATTTTGCAAAGCCCGCTGATAAACGATCAAAGAGGCGAGTGTCGTCTCGAAGAGAATTTGGAGAAAATTTGAAAGAAAAGAATTTGAAGAAAAAACAGTTTTTTGGTGAATGCATCGTTCCAAAAAAATGTACAGAGATGTAAGACGATCTCCTGGAAAATCATAACGTCGGAAAATCATAACGTTCGAAAATTTGAGAAAATTGACAAAAA